TGCTTTCTGTGGCTCGTAGCCACCCTCAGAAATAATTTCCTGTGATCAGCTGAAGAACTTTCACCAGAAAACTTAATACATGTATGTAATTTATTAAATAACTTGAACTTGTCAAACCAACTGGAGTTGAACACTTTTGTTCATGCCTTCCTTCCTAATCACACACTGTTTTATAGAACTCTAAGGCTTTTTCCCTAATTAAGATGAAATTAAGTGGTGGATCTTTCTTTTTTGTTCAGTCCACTCAGTCAATAACTTTACTGTTTTATTTACCTGTTGTGATCTATGTGTCATTCTTTTCAGGAAGTGACAACCTGGGTTATTCATTGCACAAACTAGTATACATGTATTTGCCTCATTCTTCTTAATTGTATGAACAGATTCTTCATTAAGTCCATAAGTCCTCCACATATGCACCACTTTTAAGCCCACTAGATACAATGGAAAAAATCCCTCAGTCCAGATTGTGGCACTCCAAATTTTTCCCCCAGAAGTGGCACCATGCTAGTCGATTTTTATGAAGTGTTTGTCAAAAAAATGCCACAATTTTGCAATAGTGTAATCAAGAAAATGTCTTAGAGGACTGCATGTTAATCAAGGGTCTACTGTAGTTAATATTCATGTACCTATTATTGTAAGCTGATCCTCTTTAATGTTAATGTAAATATCTCGGTTCATTTTATTCCTATTGTATCTCCTTTGATTGTAACTGATTTTTTCACAGTTCAGTTATTTAGCTGTTTTAACTTTTAAGGTCTAAATAATAATTTATTACAAGGACCCCAATGGAAATAAGTCACTTTGACTTTTTTGGGTTACCTAGGTAATTTACACTATGTATGATAATTGTACTTATAAGTACCTGTGCTAAATAAACTTACTTATTTACTTACTTCTAGGTGGACAGGGACAACAGGTGTAAGGAAACACGACCAATGTTCCCACCTGTGCTGGGTATTGAACCATGGACAGTCGGTGTGTGAGGTGAGTGCACTTCCAATGTATTTTCTAAAAGTACAACCGTGTTAACTTTTCTTTGTATATAATTTATTTATGTATAATCAGAAAAGCTCATAATTTTGCCTTCATATTAGGAAGATCCATGCATATTTATCTACATCTCTTCTGCCAAACTAGTGCTTGTCTATTTTCTTTTGAATTCTGAATTTACCAAACTCCTTTGTTTTGAGTTGTCCAGGTTCTATATCTTCAGAACCTTATTCACGGCCCTCTCCACCTTTCACTTGTGCATCTCAACCACATGTCCATCATTTTACAGTTTTCAGTCATTCATTACGACTTTTTCCAAGTACAGTGGACCCCCGCATAACGATTACCTCCAAATGTGACCAATTATGTAAGTGTATTTATGTAAGTGCGTTTGTACGTGTATGTTTGGGGGTCTGAAATCTACTTCACAATATTTCTTATGGGAACAAATTCGGTCAGTACTGGCACCTGAACATACTTCTGGAGTGAAAAAATATCGTTAACCAGGGGTCCACTGTACATACATCAACAGTGGTCTTAAAGGGACAAGAGCTAGCTTCCACATGAGTTGTTGTTAACGAAAGAAGACAGTTTCTAAAATTTTTTGATGTTACAGATGGTAGTACCTACAAACATCACCTGTATAAAACATGTCAATCTTCCTATTTTTAACTAACATGGCCCAGTGGTTGAGTGGTGTATACCTAAAGAATGTTGTCAGGAATCAATACCCCCAACAGCAAAGTCCCAGATGAGGTCTCCTTGAGCACCATGGCCTAATGAACCAGGCTGTTACTGCTTGCTGCATGCAGTCCAACATACCAATCAGCCTGGCTGATCTAGAATTGAGACGAAGAACTTAACAAGCTTTCTCTTGAAGAGAGCAAGGAGTCTGTGGGTAATCTCCCTTATGTATGATGGGAGGCTGTTGAAAAGTTTTCAGATTCTTATACTTACATGTTGAATTCGTTCTGTGACCGAGCTCGTAACTCAATTTGCTCATATATCAGATCAATTTTCCTCACTGAAATTAATTGAAATGCCATTAATCCATTCCAGCCCCCAAAAAACCACCTCAATTTTTTTGTTATGGGTTTTTAAATAAGAAAAATGTATTTATAAATAAGTAATATTGTATAAAAGCATAATAAAAGAGAATGTAAAGAAATGAACTGGTTTTATAAAGTGTATTTACCTTGGAGATCAGATAACTTGGGCTAACAGAAGATGCTGGCAGAAGTGGAAGGTGGAAAAGATAGGCAGAGGAATTTTCTAGGTGTTTCCTTTCAATAAACTCTGAAAGTCTCTCCCAGATTCACAACATTTCTGGCATTATAGCCTTTGTCAACTCCTTCTGCTTTAGTATGGTACATATGATAGAAGTACTATGCTCGTACTGCCTCTCCAAGTCAACTACACGCACACCTCACTCATGTTTTTCTGTGATTTCATGCTTTAATTCATTGGACATCATCCTCTTCTTTTTTGCAGCACTGTTCTTTGCACTTACTTTCGTAGGACCCATGGTTAGAAAAAAGAAATTTGGCAAAATAACTGCACAAAACACAAGCATAACACAAAAAAGATGCTCCCACGGCGAGGTAACCACGTGCACTGAACGAGTGAGACGTGGGATGCTGGGTGGATGTTGTGGCATTTGCTTCACCAATTAGTGATGGCGTATCTGAAGCTCGCTTGTAACTCAGATTTTGGCTTGCAAGTAAAAGCAAAAAATCATCTGAAGGACGGTTCGTCACTCGGAAAACTAGTAAGTTGGGGCACTCGTAAGTCAAGGTACCACTGTATTTTGTTCTCATAGTGTACTCACGGCATCCCTGCTTTTCACTGAAGATATGGTGCACCATCTACCGAGTCTCTTGCTTTCATAAGGAGTAATGTGTGTAGATTTGGAACCAATTCATTGAAAATTTTCTAGATTAAATGATTTATTTTGCCTGCATTCCAAGGAGTACATTATTATTATAATAACTAAGCACTAAACTCATAAGGGTCATACAATCCAAGAAGTACAGGTCAAGGGACTTAACCATTCCAAGTAATTTAGATGCTTTACTGATTTTTTTTTGTTCCATTATTATCTGGCAGTCTTGTTTGTTGTAATTGATTTGGTCCAAGAAACTTAATATTGAAAACAAGCCACAGAATTTTATTCAAAATGTGCTCATTGCATTTGTGCTCAAATTTGTTTTCTTATTAATATCATTATAAACCAGTTTAGTGTCAGTCTAATTCAGCTTCTAGAGGACTGTCCATTGATTGGTCACTGGATTTCCCAATACCATATCTTTTTTTTTTTCTATCAGTCTTTATTAAGAATATAAGTCTCAACCAGTTTAGGATAATATTTACTGAGATACTGTTTAAAAAGTGATTGGAAATCATTAACTGGTTCCATCACTATCCCTTTCCTTCCTCCATACCCCCCACTAACCATCCTTCTCTCTCTCTTTTTCCTACCCACACCAACAAACACAACCATCAACATTCCCTAACTCCTTCCACGCATCAACATTACTCCAAAACAGAGAGGAAAAAACGCGAGGTGTGGGCAGGAATAACGGAACGTACAGTTTGTGGCCCAGTGGCTATAGCTCTTGCGAGGATCTGGGTTTGATTCCTGGCGAGGGTAGAAACATTGGGTGTATTGGAACGCTGTTCTCAGGTTTGCCAGGCGTCCATATGCTGCAGCAGTTACCTGGTTGATGTGTGCTTCCGGAGACATGCTCGGTGTTATACTCACTCCAAGATCTTTCTCCTTGAGCGAGGTTTGCAGTCTTTGGCCACCTAGCGTATACTCTGTCTGCGGTCTTCTGTGCCCTTCTCCTATCTTCATGACTTTGCATTTGGCAGTGTTTCCTTACACCGGTTGTTTATGTTCCCCATCAGTAAAATGGGTACCTGGATGTTAGTCGACTGGTGTGGGTTGCATCCTGGGACAAAACTGACCTAATTTGCCCGAAATGCTATGCATAACAAGCGGCTTTCTGTATGGTAGTATGTCATTGATGTCGGCTAGGCCTGTATACTTTGTACATGTACAGTACTTGTAAAAATGATATTATATTATTATTATTATTATTACTTTGTTGGATCAAAGACTACTTTTCTTAAGGGATGAAAACAAGAGTGATGGTCTGGGAAGAGATGTCAGAATGGGGAAGTGTAACAAGTAGGGTTCTGCAAGAATTGGTACTAGTGCACTAATACCGTTTCTGGTTGACGTGAATGACCTATCGGGTGGCAGAAAGTCAGAGGTATCTATTTGCTGATGTAAAAGTAAACTAAAATAAAATTATTATAGAAATAATACACAAATAACCCACAGGTGAAACCTGGTCACAGACCAGGCTGTGGGGGCATTGACCCCTGAAACCCTCTAAAGGTATACATAGGAAAAAACTTTTTGACGACATTTTGGTTTGACTTGGACCATTAACTAATCACTAGTTAATGGTCCAAGTTGGACTGAAACATCGTCATAAAGTTTCTTTCTCCTGTGTGCGGGTTATTTGTGTATTGTTCCAGTCATGGTATTGTGCCTTTGTGTTCCTAATTATAGGAAATTAATTTTTTGGAAAAATTTTCTTTTGGTAATGAAAGTGGCAAATTAAGGGCTTCTTTGAAATGCAAACTCGACTACTCATTCACTTGTATTGCAGTGCACTGAGAAATAAATACTCGAGTCCTGGACTCTAAAGGAGAGGTTTGGGATATTTGCTGTTTAGAGAGACATCTAAATTGTCATATCTGCATGCCTCTGGCATGTGTAATGATGGTGAAAGTATTTATTTTTTGGGTCATCTGGCCTCAGTTGGAGACAGCCAGCATTTAAAAAAAGAAAATTCACATATATAAAGTTTGAGAAATTATCTAATGCTGTTTATGCATAACTATAATGATTGTAATCATATCAACAGTAATTATGTAAAAAATATTTTGAAGAATTGAGACGCTTATGCAACATATGGGAATCTTTATTGAAGAAACGTTTTGCCACACAGTGGCTTCATCAGTCCAATACAAAGTAGAAATGTGTAGGAGAGGAGGAGTGTGAGGTAATCAGTCCCTCAGCCTGGAATTGAAGTGTTCAGTCCATCAGTCTTGTAGGAAGTACAGCATAGGGACAGAGAGGTGGCTTATATACTGCAGTCAGGTGAGTTGAAGCAGGAGGAGGTGGGATCACAGTGGGACCTTCCACTAGTGTAAGTAGGTCTTCGTCCAAAGGTTGGACAAACGTCGAAGAAGTCTTTGTACTAAGATCACATGATGTTGCAGTGCAAAGGACAGTGCTGAGAAGAAAATGATGTCCATTGAATTAAAACATGAAATCACAGAAAAACACGAGCGAGGTGTGGTGTAGTCGACTTGGCGAAGCAGTACAAGCATAGTATGTATGTGCTTCGTGCTTTCTCTGCAAGAAGGCACAAGGCATTTACACTGATTTACTTCTGAGATACACCTACCATCCGACTTACGACCTGCTCGACTTACGACCACTCGACTTACGACCGTGTTTTTTATACCAAATTTCTGGGAAATAAACAACTATTTATGTTGTACACAGTGTTTATCCTAAACCTTACAGTATAAAATACAGTACTAACAACATAAAAAGTAAAGTAAAACATGAAATACCAAAATAAAACAATAAAATAAAGTCATTACAAAAATGTTTTGTTGATATTCAGTAGTAAAGTTCGACTTATGACCGGTTTCTCAGAACCGAACTCGGTCGTAAGTCAGATGGTAGGTGTATTCATCCAAAACGTAGGCCGGTCTCCTGACTCAAGAAAAAAAAATTCTGAGAAAACAGCTTTTGTTTCAGTGTTCTCCTTATGAAACTAGTGATCTAGTGCAGTTAGCCTCACAAACACTCCATTTTCTCTTATAAGACCTCAGAAAGGCAAGAATGGGGAGATATGGTCAGAGCAGTAATTATTTTTACCTTGGGAGTGGCCACCAACACTCGTCACATAATGACGTAGTATTTTATTCATTGTAGACTACGTATATGTTTCTGTGTTATTTATATTGTTTATAATGTCATATTAGATCAATTGTGATAGATAAATAAGTTGTAGAGTTGATATTAGCATTATATTGATGTATTTTCTCCTGCCTCCCAAGAGCCAGGTATTCCTCTGGAACAGATTAAAGGCATTTCAGCTAATTTCAACGAGGAAAATTGATTTGATTTACGAGCAAATTGAGTTATGAGTTGGGTCATGGAATGAATTAAACTTGGAAGTCAAGGTACCACTGTATTATTATCAAAGTTAAGTGCTAAACCACCAGGGTTATACAGCGCTGTTCATGGATTATAATTATAAAACATTCACAGTAAGCGTTAATTTCCTGTATAGAATGCAGCAACATATATCATTACACAATCTACGAGCATATGGTTTCTATGTAGGTAGGCATGACTGTTATACAATTTTTCCTTTGAATTTTTCCTTTGAATACTGTACTCAACAACATACTTTACTCTTTTAGCCACTTTGGTTTAACAGTTTAGGTTTAGTGAAGAGAGGATAACACGAAACTGCAACAAAAATTCCACCATATATTTTTCTGTTAAATACGTCAAAACACCTGAGGTGCTGCCTAATACATTAAAATATCTCCTCTCAGCTCGTGTTAGAGATTTTTCCATCATATAGATGAGGTGGTGATGAAAGCAAGTGAAGTGAGTTCCAGTGCTAAGTGCAATGTTCACCCAATCCTTGACACACTCAAGTGGAGTAGTTTTATAACCTGCGTACATGGCTGGGTTTTCTAGCATTCCTCTTGCTGCCATTACACCTAATGAAAATAAAAGAAATCAGACAACACAAAAAGGTTTATAAAATGAATCACAGCTTTTTTTTTACTTGTGAGAATTAAAATTACCCCATGGCAAAGCAGGACTGATTGTGAGATATTGTCTATCATGTGTGTAGCAGCACTCACTCATAATGAATCTCTTGGCTACCTGAATAAAAAGTACATGTAGGTGATAAAAGAAAATATATACGTACTAAAACACTAGGTACGAAATAACACAAACTGAGAAGGAATTACTATTCTTCTTTCAACAAACTGGCAGTATCCCACTGAAGCAGCGTAGCCCTCCCTCCCTAGTGCTTAGTTCCCTGAGAAGGAATTATGGTATAATACAGCCTCTCCTCACTTAGTGAAGTACTCATTTACCGACAACTCGGACTTATGATGGGCTCTCTGACCAGTAGGCATACTTAAATAATGTAGATTAGAGCTGATTTCCTCTGTTTTCTTTATTACATTATACAGTACATTACTGTATAAACATTTAAAAATATTATAAATGGTGCAAAGGTGACATTAAAACAATATCAAAGATGGCTGACACAAACCCACTACCATTATAGTACGCTCCTTGCTTAGCAACAAATTTGTTTACCGACGTGGTCTTAGGAACGGAACTCCATCGTTAAGTTAGATGAGGCTGTAATTAATGAAATATTGTATTTACGAATCTCTTATGCTGCAAGCATGATCAGCTATATATTTTTTTAAAACAAGTCTATGCATTACTATGCACATTTTGTCAAATATCTTTTAGAAACCACTGAAAATTTTATCCATACCATTAACTCCTGTGATCTTTTGTATTTGGTGGGCATCATCCATTGATCGGATATCACCATTAGCAATTACCGGAATCTGAAGTGCACTCTTGATATCTGCAATTGCTTCCAAACATACTGGATCTCCTCGTTGCTCTTGTGTCCGTCCATGAACAGTAATGAAGGAGGCTCCAGCAGCCTCCATTTGTCTAGCAAAATCTACTGTGTGTCTGAAATATTCAAAACAGTATCATAAATCAGCACATAAAAAATGTTCACCTAACTTTAGTCACTAATTTTCCTCTAGATTAGGGCAATTTGAAAATTTACATAAAAATAGTTTTCACTTACAGAAAAACTATGCAATAATCATCCAAATTTTCAAGAAATTTTCTTTAATTAACATATGTTCAGATAAGAAAGGGGCTACTAAAAATGCTCAGTAACGTAGAAAAAAAAGGAGGAATAAGGGTTATTAAAGAAAGTGTATAAATCTGAAATGACTGGAAGGTGTAGCAGGCATCCAAGGAACGGTTGGGAAGCCTGTGTAAAGGTTTTGAGAAAAAGCAGTTGAAATATTCAACAGGCACATAGGAGGGTTAAACTCAACTAAGGTCAGTCAAGTGGGCCATGGATCATACCTGCTGTTGAAGTGTAAGCATAGTAAAGTCTATGAAGAAATTATAAGAATGGTTAACTGGCTCTTGCAAAAGTTGATAAGCACAGTGTCTGTACTTTAACAGCAAGTCAGAATACTGCAGCTTGGCAAGTCATCAGTGATTTGTGATGACTGAGCCTCTCTTAAAGGCATCTGGAAAGTGAGTAATGGGTCTGATTTTTTCTTTGGTGGAAAATACCCAGTGTAAAAAAATCAAAACTGTAATAAAATTTTTTACTGTATTGCGATAACTGCAGTATTTAGGAGCAGGAATACTGATAATTTAAACACAAAACATTAAATTCATTTTAGAGGTGTATTATACCAACTACAGTGTAACCTTGGTATGCGACCTTAATTCATTCCAGAAGGCTGTTCGAGTGCCACTCCATTTGAGTATCGAACAAGTTCTTCACAACCAATTTTCTGTTTGGTTGGCTGTTATCACTAATTGTCGTAGGCCCCATGGTGACTTATTTATACAAATAATACAAAAAAAAATGCAAAGAAACATGGAACAGTCTACAGCGAAGTTCTGGCAGGTCATATTTGTTTGGTCGAGTGTTGAGCTTTGTTCGAGTAGGGAGCCGATTGTTTACCAAGGTTCCCCTGTATCTTGATATACAGTAATATGACATCAAATCTGATGCAGCCTGTTTAAAAAATTACTGTTTTTATACCTATTAAGTATTGTTTTGCCATTACAACAGGAATGTTTACACTAGTTAATGTATGTATGCTGTATTTCATTAATAAGATATCTTGAAACACAGTTTTTTGTTAATTCCTTATGCATAAACAGAAGAAAGTATGGGGACTTGAACCATGGTCCTGGCAGTAACAGACCCAATATTGTACCAGTACTGCTGGACCCACTACTTCCAGAACCCAGATTCAAAGCCTTGTCTAATCTTCTGTTTATTCATTAACACACTCATTATAACTCATCTTGAATTTAATTCTCTATATTTTATTTGCTATTAAAGAACTGAGACAACCAAAAATCAGCATGCATAGATATTAACTTTTTTTTTTTTTATTTTTTTATCATCACACTGGCCGATTCCCACCAAAGCAGGGTGGCCCGAAAAAGAAAAACTTTCACCATCATTCACTCCATCACTGTCTTGCCAGAAGGGTGCTTTACACTACAGTTTTTAAACTGCAACATTAACACCCCTCCTTCAGAGTGCAGGCACACTACTTCCCATCTCCAGGACTCAAGTCCGGCCTGCCGGTTTCCCTGGACCCCTTCATAAATGTTACTTTGCTCACACTCCAACAGCACGTCAAGTATTAAAAACCATTTGTCTCCATTCACTCCTATCAAACACGCTCACGCATGCCTGCTGGAAGTCCAAGCCCCTCGCACACAAAACCTCCTTTACCCCCTCCCTCCAACCTTTCCTAGGCTGACCCCTACCCCGCCTTCCTTCCACTACAGACTGATACAGTCTTGAAGTTATTCTGTTTCGCTCCATTCTCTCCACATGTCCGAACCACCTCAACAACCCTTCGTCAGCCCTCTGGACAACAGTTTTGGTAATCCCGCACCTCCTCCTAACTTCCAAACTACGAATTCTCTGCATTATATTCACACCACACATTGCTCTCAGACATGACATCTCCACTGCCTCCAGCCTTCTCCTCGCTGCAACATTCATCACCCATGCTTCACACCCATATAAGAGCGTTGGTAAAACTATACTCTCATACATTCCCCTCTTTGCCTCCAAGGACAAAGTTCTTTGTCTCCACAGACTCCTAAGTGCACCACTCACCCTTTTCCCTCATCAATTCTATGATTCACCTCATCTTTCATAGACCCATCCGCTGACACATCCACTCCCAAATATCTGAATACATTCACCTCCTCCATACTCTCTCCCTCCAATCTGATATCCAATCTTTCATCACCTAATCTTTTTGTTATCCTCATAACCTTACTCTTTCCTGTATTCACTTTCAATTTCTTCTTTTGCACACCCTACCAAATTCATCCACCAATCTCTGCAACTTCTCTTCAGAATCTCCCAAGAGCACAGTGTCATCAGCAAAGAGCAACTGTGACAACTCCCACTTTATGTGTGATTCTTTATCTTTTAACTCCACGCCTCTTGCCAAGACCCTCGCATTTACTTCTCTTACAACCCCATCTATAAATATATTAAACAACCACGGTGACATCACACATCCTTGTCTAAGGCCTACTTTTACTGGGAAATAATTTCCCTCTTTCCTACATACTCTAACTTGAGCCTCACTATCCTCGTAAAAACTCTTCACTGCTTTCAGTAACCTACCTCCTACACCATACACCTGCAACATCTGCCACATTGCCCCCCTATCCACCCTGTCATATGCCTTTTCCAAATCCATAAATGCCACAAAGACCTCTTTAGCCTTATCTAAATACTGTTCACTTATATGTTTCACTGTAAACACCTGGTCCACACACCCCCTACCTTTCCTAAAGCCTCCTTGTTCATCTGCTATCCTATTCTCCGTCTTACTCTAAATTCTTTCAATAATAACTCTACCATACACTTTGCCAGGTATACTCAACAGACTTATCCCCCTATAATTTTTGCACTCTCTTTTATCCCCTTTGCCTTTATACAAAGGAACTATGCATGCTCTCTGCCAATCCCTAGGTACCTTACCCTCTTCCATACATTTATTAAATAATTGCACCAGCCACTCCAAAACTATATCCCCACCTGCTTTTAACATTTCTATCTTTATCCCATCAATCCCGGCTGCCTTACCCCCTTTCATTTTACCTACTGCCTCACGAACTTCCCCCACACTCACAACTGGCTCTTACTTTTTATACAAAGATAATGTAAGGGCATACTTGTAATCTTTATGTAATCTAATCTTGATGGATACAGTGAAGTCTGAGTCAGTGACAGTGTTGCGAGTCTGATGAATCATGTCAGCCACCAGCTCTGGCTTGTGAATGAGACATGCTCCATAGCCCTTAGCCATAGCCCAGCGCTGTGGGCACCCACAGTTTAGGTCAACACCATCACAATACCTGTAGAATTGTAACAAATGTACTTTACATTCCTACAACTAAAGGTAACAGTATTTTATACACATGAAAAATCATTCACACATATGTATGTATAAGTAAAGAAAAAACTAATATGAAAGATATAATACTAAGAAGTAAAGATGCTGGTAAAATTAGCAAATCAGAGACAATGTGTAAGATACTAAATAAAAGATTTCGGAGGGTATTTACAGAGAAACCATATTAAATAAAATAGACGGAAACCTAAAAGTGTTATCTGAAATTAATGTTTTGCCATTTTATATAATGTTTTTAAAGTCTTATATAATGTGAATCAGGAAAAGATATGAAGGATTAAGAGCACAAGAAAATGCAAGCTTAGATAATACAACATACAAGATGCAGCACCTATATCACTTGCTGATATATCTTCTCAGTTTTGTTTTCCCTGGGAATGTTAGGTTGGGTGTGTATCATCAAGAAACAAGTGATAATCTACATTATTAGTGTGACTGCAATGAGATATAATTAAATTTAGTTTATTCATTAAAAACTATGATAAATGTAAAGAAGCATACATTGTACATGCAAACTTTTAGAACAGCTCAAAATGTTAAACACAAGTGAAATACATATATCAGCCAGCAAGATGCAAACATATATAGCCAGTATGGCTTATTCACATAAAAGTCACACATTAGCCTGATGGACCTACGGAGCAATTAATCTTGTAGCCTCAGCCCAATCTTCGCCTTTACTTGCAGCAAACTGTACAACTAATGGACGATCCTCTATAGAAGAAAAAAAACAGGATACAATCTTAGGTACAACTTTGTTAAAAAAGAAAATACGTATATAGTAATAACTCAAGAAAAAATGTTCTAATGCTGAAATATATAAGTATATATATAATTTTTAAGCAAAGTATTACAAATATTACAAGTATTTGGATTCATGTACACAGAATTATTAGGTATGTTATGGTATATCATTCGAGAATGATACATATGGATATTTGTATGGATATTTGAAAGTGCCAAACTACTTAGTATTTTGGCAGACAATACAAAACAGCACTGCTTAAAATATTCATACAGTAACTACACATTACTCTAATTCTTTCTCCACCTTCTGTAAATTTACTCAATATTCTGAGAAGTTAAAGAGCCTAGTGTTACCTTTAGACGTTGTGAAATCGCTGTGCCTAGCTTTTACTGACTGTACAAAACATTCACTGAGGATCATGGGTGTAAAGCAGAGATCACAGCCATACTTTCTTACTAGAGATCTAAATGCCAATCTGAAACAGAAAAAAATTCATTTTTTTTTTCAGTTCACAAAGAGGGTGTTATTATTATTATAATCAAAACTAGAAATAAAGCAGGGTATATTAATTTAAATTTAAATTTAAAAAATGAGTAACAAAAGCTATAAACCTTTTACTTACCTTTATTTTTTTGTTTTAAAAGAGTTTCTACTGACAGACCTAACATGCAGGTAATCCAGCACTCAAACAAGTGCAGGTGACACTATTGCTTTGCATGATTATGAGCTTTTCCACGTATTATACAACATGTATGCAATGTAAACCTACAGTAGTGTGCATGTTAATTGGGACAGTGATGAAATAAGATATTTATTTGGAAAATTAATGCTTATTTGAAAAATACATGACAGCGATATGACAGATAATTGATATAATAAGAGATATGCTACTCTTTCCTTTTATAAGCATTGCTACATTCTTTGGCATAGAATCGACCAATGTTGAACACATTTTGGCAAGTTCTTCATTGTGTTACCAGGTGCTAATAACAGCAGCAGTTAGCTTCTCCACAGTTGAACAGCACTGTTTTGCAATCCTGCATTTGGTTATTGCCCATAGATTCTCAGTTGGGTTGAAGTCAGGATAGTTTCCAGGCCAATTTAGAATGCTTAGCCTACTCTCTTCAGAGAATGTCAACATTTTTCTGGAAGTGTGGCATCTAGCAAGATCCTGCTAGAAAATGCCTTCTCCATCAGAAAAGTCTCTATCCACAATGGGAAGCAAATGTGTTGCCAGGATTGTCTTGTATTTGTCACTGTTCATTGTTCCCTCAACAATTACAAGCTGTCCGGGTACTTTAGCAGTAAGACTACCCCAAAACATCTTAGGTGGGTGTTTTAGCACTTGGCGAATGTGTCCATTCCAAAGAGGTTCGCCTATGCTCCATTTCACTACCACTGATCTATACCCTTGTATTTCAAATTACATCTCATCTGAAAATATAACTGTTCTCCATTCATCTGTTGTCATCCCTTATGATCGAGTGCCTACTGCATCCATTTTTTCTTCACAACATCAGTTAATAATTGTTTCTTTACCATCTTTCTGGCAGTTCCGCCAGCTTCAAGGAGCCTTTGTCAAACAGTTGACGAATCAACATTTACTCCATCTGAAGCCAAATCTCTCTGTTGATCTTTGCTGACTTTCTTGGGATCCTTCACACCATATTTTATGATAACCTTGTCATCATGAGGGGGCTGTCTTGCATTTTCTTCCACATCTTCCTCGATGCAGTGCTCCGCTCTCTGCAGAATCCGACCAACAGTTGACTTTGCTAGGCTCAAATTTTTAGTGATTTCTCTGATACTCAAATCAGCATGTTTTCTAAGAGCTATAATACTTGCATGCTTCCTGGGTATAACATCCATCATAAATTTCAGCAGTAGTCATGAACTGAATTGGAGAATTTGGTGAAACCACATTCACTCACAGAGCACACTTGCAAGAATAGCCTTACAGAACAACAGCTGTTGTAGCACTGACGAGTCACAGGGTAACACCATAACTGGGTGGGTGTCAGAAGTCAGTAGCAAACTCTTATGAAAAAAAAGAACCCAAACCACATTAATTAAGCCAGAGACTAAGACATGAGATAATCACAAATTTTACTCCTGTCCCAATTAATTTGCACACTACTGTAAATAATGTCATGGAAAATAAACTTTGACACCAGTGATGCTATACCTGGAATATACCTGGAGAGGGTTTCGGGGGTCAACACCCCCCACGGCCTGGTCTGTGACCAGGCCTATATTCCTGGATAAAAAACTATGTTATTACTAATGTATTTTATTTGTCATACTTCACTTACTTAGAATATCTAACCATAGGAGCACATATTGTCACTAGTTCTTTGTTCTTAAAGAGGTCCAGAGGTTTCTTGTACATTGTAGCTCTTGCCTCCTCAACCATGTCCAATTATTCAGTTTTTTTTTTATTAAAACTGTGACGACGCAGTCCGTAAGAAGCCTGCACCAAGTTGTATTGTAATATGGTATTGTTAGATTTACAAAAAAAAAATGCAAAAAAAATGTTCAACCTGTATCCAAAAACGAGAAAAACACTAATAAATTTGTTTTTGTTGTGGGTTATGAGGCCCACCACACCTTGAGCCGTATTGAGTCCTGCTCCCTGTTTATTTAGGTACAGGTACATATAAGTACAGTAACACAAATTTAAGTGATTACACTTATCATACATAGTAACATATATGTAAATTATCTAGGATAATAAAAAAAAGGTCAGACAAAGTGCCTTATTTCCATTAGGGTCCCTTGAACAATATATTGCCAAAATCGGAGCAGAACTGGAAATTAAATAAGGCTTTCATCAGAACCAGATACATTACTACCTTTCGAATTAGGGCAGATGGACTTCCTTGCTTAAGCTCCAGTAATGCTGGACGCCTACATCCCCAGGATCAGTACCGGTTTCCCAACAAAACTGTAGAATATCCGTGAAGTGGAAAAATATAACAGATGAATGGTGGCCTGTCCTGTGTTCAGCGGGTAGAATAATATAAGGGGAAGCTTCCCATGGAGTTTTGGAGAAATTTGTACTATATGCTCAGGCGTGAGCATGATGTCTGCACACTACCAAACCCGGAGCAGAGGTCCCTTCATTAGCACTCCGTTGTTAATGTTGAGGTTATTAAGAATGATTGCAGCTGAAACCCTTGAGTGTTATCTTACTGCCTCACTTATAATAATAATATCTTTATTTTACTACAAGTACATGTACAAGGTATACAGTCCTAGCTGATAACAATGACATACTACTATATAGAAAGTCACTTGTTATGCTCCGCATTTCGGGCAAATTAGCTCAGTGTCCCAGGATGCGACCCACACCAGTCGACTAACACCCAGGTACCCATTTTACTGATGGGGAACATAGACAACAGGTGGAAAGAAACACGTTCAATGTTTCTACTCTGGCTGGGAATCGAACCCAGGCCCTCGCCGTGTGAAGCGAGAGTCAAAGAAATGAATACGAATTTTCAAAAGGAACATTATTATTATCGGTATTTTTATTATTATTACATAAGGAATGTTAAACCCGTAGATGTCATATAGAACCAAGGGAATGGTAGGTAATCAAGTTCGAGTTAGGGAAAAGAAGGGTAGTTCCAGTTCATTGTCTAAACCCAGAAGAGTGGGACCCCAATGGAAATAAGTTAGACAGTCCTCGATGACGCACTGACTTTCTTGGGTTATCCTGGGTGGCTAACCCTCCGGGGTTAAAAATCCGAACGAAATCTTATCTTATCTCTTATGGCCTGATCTTCATCAGAGTCAGTAGCCGGCCTACCCTCGAAGCCGTAGACTATCTTCATTCTACAAGGTGGAATTTTTTAGCTAATATATGGGTTCCCAACTGACGTTTAGTTAAAAAGTTTTGTTATAACCACATCGAAGTGCCCAACGTGTTGTGTATAAGGACAAACAGCCCAGGGAGAGTAATAGAAACGAATACATTATGCTCAGGTAGACCACGATGTTACCTTATTAAGGCGGCTGTCACAAAGTTGGGTACTCCAGTGGTTGCTTCAAAAACCAGCAACAGGCACTATGAACTTAAATAACAATGAAATGTAGTTATAACTGCTTTGTCAATAATATTTATTAATTATTTCCTACTTAATTATCAATTGATTTCAGAACCAGTGTAAACAAACCCACGTGACCTTTACGTCACATGTGTCCGAATATATTAACAATGAAATGTAGAATTAAAGAAGCTTTATTCTGATTAATAAACCAAGATAACTCAAAATGCTCAAGTAGTGTGGCTTCCGTTAGGATCTTTAGGCTCTCCTAGGATGCGACCCACTGGAGCCAATTAACTTCTTGCTCAGTTGCTTCCCGCATACATAAGGGGGATTACCAATAGACCCCTGACTATCTTCAAGATGGAGCTGGACAGGCACCTAAAGTCAGTACCTGACCAGCCGGGCTGTGGTTTATACGTCGGTTTGCGTGCTGCCAGCAGTAACAGCCTGGTTGATTAGGCCCTGGTCAACCGTAAGGTCTAGTAATGGACCGGGCCGACGGGGACGTTAACCTCCGGAACACCCTCTAGGTAAGCATCTACTGGTTACTAGGTGTTAGCCTAGACGATTTGCACATGTGTTACTATATTTGATAATTGTACTTACCCAAATTTGTGTAATTGTACTTATGTGTACCTGTACTTAAATAAACTTAACTGCAAGTGCTAGGAGACTGACCCATGCGTTTCGCCCTACTCAAGAATCGAACCCAGGTCCCTTCGGTTGTGAGCCAACAATTCTACGGCAATTGTAAATTTATTTTTTATAATTAATTTATTATAATCATAACTAGGCGCTAAACCCATAAGGGTCATACAGAGTTCCACACGTTGCAAAAAAAAAAAACTGATATCGAGAAACAAAAAAACTTATCGAGACCGCTTCAAAGGGCGCCGGCTTTTCGACTAGTCACGTGCATAATATATTAATGGTGAACCGCACAAGATGTTATGGAGATGAATCACCAGCCACGAATAAATTTTAACTAGGTTTAACCTCTTGGGAGAACCCTGCAACATAGCAACTAATGCAACCAAGGTTTCTGCAACATAGCAACTAATGCAGCCAAGGTCTCTGCAACACAGCAACTGATGCAGACTGGGTCTGCAACACAGCAACTGATGCAGTCAGGGTCTCAGCAATACAGCAACTGATGCAGACTCTCTGCATCACAACAACTGATGCAGACTCTGTCTCTGCATCGCAGCAACTGATGCAGTCAGGGTCTCTGCATCACAGCAACTGATGCAGACTAGATCTCTGCAACACATCAACTGATCTACCTACTGCTGTTACTAATGTTATTAAAATAATGGGAAAACACTTAACCCGTAGGGGTTATACAACTCTTGTGAAATAGGAGGTAATCAGGTTTGGTCCAAGGAATGGAAGAATAGCCTCAATTCGATCAAAGTCATCCACCAACATCAAGGCCACTCCCCCTCCTCTCCTTGAAGAGATGTAGTGGTATTTATTATAATTATAATCATGGCTAAGCGCTAAACCCACAAGTCACACAGCGCTGCAGATGTAGTGATGGTGTGATATTAGCCGACTTAAAGCAAGTTATTAAGAGCACAACCTATGAGATAGGGGTTTAATTTTCGGTCTCGGGGAGACCGAAAATTAAACCCTTGCACATGAGGTGTCCCTGTACACCTGATGTGCATATCAAATAAAAAATGGTAGGGAATCGAACCTATAGCAGTCGCGCTATTACGATTTCGTGAGTCGTAATAAAGTGTACCTAGGTGTTGGTCGACTCTTGTGGGTGGTAATCCGGATTATGACGGAAGGATGGGGGGGGAGGGGGATAGTGCGCATGTGTAAGGAACTCCAGAACTAGTGGCAGTAGAACCTGCCTTGCGAGGGTAGAAACACTCTCGAAACCGGTCACAAGCAGGCAGCTAGATGTTTGGTACACGGCTCTTGCCTACTCATCGAGGTAGGTGGCTTGACACCTTTGAGAGGCTTTTGATCCAAACAACTGGAGCTACCTTCTTTTGTATGGAATCTAAACACCTGCCATTCCCCAAGGTGCTGTATCACCTTCATCAAAAACATAATAATAGCTTTACCCTTGATAGAAAGTCATTATTATAGATTGTGGTTTATAGATTGGGGTATTATATAACCGAATATGTCCAGTTTAGGCCAGTGCAAATATGTCTGACAAAAGTATTTAATTTTAAAATAATGAAACATTTATGAAATATACGTAGAATAAAATAAAGCTACCAGAACGCAATTAAACACTCCGTCATTATAAATAATTATAGATGCGAGGATCTCACCTTCAAGGACCATAACATTGTATCAATCGCATCTGCTAGAAAAATGACAGGATGGATAATGAGAACCTTCAAAACTAGGGATGCCAAGCCCATGATGACACTCTTCAGGTCACTTGTTCTATCTAGGTTGGAATATTGCTGCACACTAACAGCACCTTTCAAGGCAGGTGAAATTGCTGACCTAGAAAATGTACAGTGAACCTTCACGGCGCGCATAACGGAGATAAAACACCTCAATTACTGGGAACCCTTGAAGTTCCTGAACCTGTATTCCCTGGAACGCAGGCGGGAGAGATACATGATTATATACACCTGGAAAATCCTAGAGGGACTAGTACCGAACTTGCACACGAAAATCACTCACAACGAAAGCAAAAGACTTGGCAGACGATGCAACATCCCCCCAATGAAAAGCAGGGGTGTCACTAGCACGTTAAGAGACCATACAATAAGTGTCAGGGGCCCGAGACTGTTCAACTGCCTCCCAGCATACATAAGGGAGATTACCAATAGACCCCTGACAGTCTTCAAGCAGGCACTGGACAAGCACCTAAAGTCGGTACCTGACCAGCCGGGCTGTGGCTCGTACGTTGGTTTGCGTGCAGCCAGCAGTAACAGCCTGGTTGATCAGGCTCTGATCCACCAGGAGGCCTGGTCACAGACCGGGCCGCGGGGGCGTTGACCCCCGGAACTCTCTCCAGGTAAACTCCAGTATTGTGACCCGCGATGCTTTTTCTTAAGGGTTGTATATTCCTTTATCTCCAGTTTTCGCCTCACCTCTCGGTTTTCTCAAATCTTTACAAAACAAACTCTAGTTAATGGTTTGCTTTAGTAGCTCTCCTGCTTAGATTATTTGTCCAGCGAGTCATAAATAATCTTTGAGACACTTGAAATTTGTTTACAACACAGTATTTACAAGCCGAGTCTGAATGGTGTTACTGGAATCATTGTAACCACAGATATAGCACGTCAGTGTCTCCTCCCCTTTCCCTCTTCCCATATCTAGCACTCCACACACGTGTTGCCCCTCTTCACCTTCACCCAGGGAGAGTTAGTACACCGGGTTGTGCATTGAGATGAGCTGAAGCAGGATACCAGCTCTTAGCCTGTAAATTCAGCTGTGTAAAAAAAAAAAAATACCTCGTACTCCCTTTCCCTCGTGAACCCCCCTCTCTATCCCCCATCCCTTCCATTTTCTCCCTCCTGTTTCCGTACCCGCTCTCACTATTTATTATTATATTTAAGGGGACGCTCCAAACTAGTAGGGG